TCGCTGCTACCCCAGTTGCCCGCGACAACTATGCTGCCGATTTCTTTGCATAATGACTCCGCGCATAGCATGTGCGGCACGGGTACATCAAAAAAGTTGACTGTTGGGCGAGTTGGCGCTTTGACATAGAAACCGTTGTTACGTTCTCGGGCTATATTTGTGCACGCTGATGATGCTTTGGCCATTGCTGGTTTACTGACTGATGATGACATACACTCAAACCTCGTTATATTGTAACAGGATATAACGAAATACAGTCGAATCTCCATAATTCAATCTCCAAGAGGCTCGAAAATTTGTTCGAATTAAAAAAAGTTCGAATTATTTGAAAGCTTTCGAAAAAGTTCGAAAGCTAAGTAAACGGAGGGCTCCCCATGCAGTGGCGCATGTGCATTGAGCTAACACACGAGAGGGAAGTTTCAGAAGACTTACCGTATTTACTCGATTCTACCACGCCCTCGATTGTAACGTGCACCGGGTTTCCACGACGAAAAAAAAAAAAAAAAAGAATGTAAGACATCGATTGCAACGCGCACCAATTTTTTCTCGTTGGCTCACACGGTCACACCACTCGGGAAAAAGACACCTTTCGGGAGCGTCTTCCGTTTAAATATGAGGTACGGGGGAAGCTTTTGCCTATTTGACGAGCAACGGAGCATTGCCGTCACTCTAGTTATACTGTGGCCCGATGTCAGCACGCGAACTTGCTTCGCCCTCTTTTTCTCGACAGTTGTGGTGCCAGGCATGTCGAAGTAAAGAGGCTTCTGATCGGCATTCCCGATTTGCCCAAGCAGGGAGCCGTTGTTGTGCCGCAAGTTTAGGACGAACCTCTGAAAACTGAAGCTTTTCTTCGTACTCCTCCGGCAACTTTTGGCGTATGCCTGTTCGCCTTCAGAGGGAAAAGCCTTTCCTCTTCATAAAATTAGTTAGCCAGCACCTGCTCACTTTAAACTGGCTCAGCATTAGCCCTTTTTCTAAGGCTAACTGCATAGCCTGCACTTGGAGCAGTTCTGTGGTCACGGGCTGCTGTGCCGCTCACTACTCAATCACATACACGCCGAGCAGCTCTTCAATGTGCGGAAACCGACCCTGCTGTGGTCCGCTGGAGCCTTTGCGTGAATCTTTGCTGTCAACAATATTCTGCTTTTGTTTACGCCAGTCCCGCATGCACGTTTCGGAAACTCCGAACAACCGCGATGCAGCCCGATTTACGTCTGTTTCGGCACACGCGATGACTTTTTCTTTAAAAGCGGCATCGTGGTGCACTCGTCGAGTTTTTGGAGTCGGCCCTTCCATGCCGTCGATGCTAATGCACACCAAGATGACGAACTCCTCAGCACATGTACGAAGTGCTGCACATGCGAAACACATAGGCAGAAATGGCCGACGCGCCATGCCGACGCACGTAGGGGGCGGCCATTTTGGAATGCCGATGGCAATAGAATGACCATATTCATTTTTTTTTCGTACTTGATTCTAACGCGCATGCGATTTATGAACTCGCTTAACCGGAAAAAAGGTGCATGTTAGATTCGAGTAATTACGGTACATTTATTCACAAATCTCAGGACATCTGTCATTATTTGAAGTATTCAGTTACTTCAAACGTATGCAACTACGTCTGCATACGTTTCCCTTGCAACGAGTCAATCAATTCTGCACGCAGCTTACAAAGTAAGTCTGCTTCGGCTTCAGCATTCTCCTGGTAAGAGAAGTTACGCGTGGCAATGTTCAGCGCAGACACTCTCTAAAGACGACGACAACAACGACTGCATCTACGCTACTACCCTCTGCGCCAAAGCCCCAGCGTGGCCGGCACGTGTCGAGAAAAGAGGAGCATCTCTAGGCGGAGGGAAGCAGATAGGCATTTGAGAGAGAACCAACACTGGCGACAGCTTTCCTTCTTTTCTCTCTCTCTCTTTGTGCATGGCGTTGGAAGGAGAAGGGTGTTTACGTGGCAGGTGCGAAAAAGGGAGAAGCGCGGCACAAGGGTGTAGCAGATCGGCATTTGAGAAAAAAAAAACATTCCACCACTGCCTTTTTTTTCTCTTTTCCTTTTCTTCACGCGCAGCGTTGAGGTGTCGGAGGTGCCGCCGCAAGATTGGGTGGGGCGCTGAGAGCATTTTCGGAGCGCGATATGTTCGAATTAACCGTCGCAAGTTCTTGCACATTCAATTACCAGGCGTTCTCGGCCACTGGAATACACATAGCTCTGATGGGACTTCATTGTGAGTTCGAATTAGGCCTGTTCGAATTAACGAGATTTGACTGTAATGAATATAACAAAGTAAATCAAATTCCCCTTGAAAGCTCCATTGAGAACCATGCATTTTAAACCTCGTTGTGATGAAGTAAAATTGACCGGTAAATGGACATAACGAACTAAATGAATCTACCAAATAGTCTATCAAAAAAAAAAAAGAACGACCGCAGTGTGTTAAGTATATTGCTTACAGCGGAGTTTTACGCTCGCTCGGCGCAGCTCTTTCAAAACTCTCGCGCCGACCTTACAGCAAGGCCATGCGCAGCCGCGAGAGCTGTCTTCCTCACACAGCTAGCGAAGAGGATTGAGGAAGCGCTCAGCCGGTCACAAAACGAGAAGCGGCGTAACGGTGCAAAGCGATTTCCTTATCACCTACACACGACGGGGAAGATTCAGAAGACTTACATTTATTCAAAAATCAGAGGACATTCGTCATTAATTGATGTAATCGGTGATGCACGTCAGCGTATGTTTGCCTTGCAGCGAGTGAATCAATTTCGCACGTAGTTCACAAAGCATTGTAGCGGGCGGCTAAGTCCAGCACCAACACTCTCTAAAGACGACGGCAACGACTGCGTATCCCCTGCTACCCTCTGCACTGAGAAAGGAGAACTTTCCGCGACAGCTTTCATTTTTCTTTTTCTTTCTCTCTGCGTGCCACCTAGAAAGGAGAAGGGTCTCTACGTTCAGAGACGTAAAAGGGAGGAGCGTGAAGCGCGTCTCAGACCAGCATTTGAGAGAGGGCAAACAATCAGCCACAGTCTTTTCTTTCCTTTTCTTCATTTCCTTCTTCGCGCACAGCATTGAGAAGTGCCACCACAGGATTGGGCATGGTGCTGAGAGCATTTTGAAAGCGCAGTATGTTCGAATTAGCTGCCGCAAGTGCTTGCCCGTTCGAATTACAGGGCGTTTTCGCCCATTGAAATATGCATAGCTTTGACGGGACCTCGGCATCAGTTCGAATGAACCAGAAGTTTGAATTAAGCATGTTCGAATCAATGGGATTTGACTGTGTTTATTTTCCGTCACATGCGTGGTCGCGTAGCGGTACATCAGGCCGCGAGGTGGTTTCCTTCTTTGCATGCTTATAGTTGTGCGCCCGTCTGAGCATTCATTGCCACAAACTGTTATAGTCGATATAATGAAATAATGGATATAATGAATATATTTGTGGCTCCCCTTCAACCTTGTTATAATGAGGTTTGAGTGTACCGTATTCCCTCGCGTAACGAACGCACTTTTTTTCTGAAAAAATCGGAGCCAAGTTGGGGGGTACATTTATTACACAGGGTAAATTTTATGAAAACATTTTCGGGAGAAGAAAAAAATGCGGTAATGCAAAAAAAAAAGTTAGGTCGCTCAGCCTTTTGCAATTTACATATGCGTACACAGTTTGGAAACAGCTTCTTTGTTACACTTTACTCATCTTCGGTGGTTGATGGCGCTATTTTCTGCAAGCTGTCCCTGATCCGCCCGAGCACACCATAAAAACGCTTTGCAACTATCTTTTCATGTAATCGTTTAACGGTAACAGTGGTATCTGCTGTGATATCGAGAGGCACCCAAAAGGGGTGCACTCATGGTGGGAACGGAGAATGAGAAGGGACAGTTAGGGTGAAGGAAAAAGAAAGTAGGCTAACAAGAGGGGGGGGAGGGGGCGCAGGAAGGAACCCACATCAGTTGGCACGGGCAGTTTGGTGACGTTTGCTCGCTGTGAGCTTATCAGCTGCGATGTCTCTACACTGCCCCCGCTCCTGAAGCAGCTGTGGCGCACAGATAAGAGCACAGATAAGACGCTGGACACATTTTCACCAGTCCCGTGAGATCTGGGTTAACGAGCTTTTACTGTACACCCTTGTCAGCCACATCAGTTGGGCTTCCACAGAAGTTGAAAGAGGAGAAGAGGCTGAGGAAATAGCATCTTTGCCGCTCATGTGTAAAGTGTTGTCGGCCACACTATGAGGCTGCACCAGATCATGCAATAATACAATTTGGCCTTTGCGTTGTCTTTCTCTTGATGACAACTACGACACATCACCTCGCCAATTCTTCCATCAACATATGCCAAAAAAAACACTTTCACGCTGCTATCTGATATGAACATGCTTAGGAATCCTGTCCTACTGTTTTTGTTTTTTGCTTCAAACTTATTCGAAAAATATCCAAGAAGTACTTCGGACCATTCCAAAAGTGTTCAATTCCATTGCACTCACACTTTTATAATCGAGTTCACTCCCAACCCAAAATTTCGCTATTCCCGCAGCTCTACTTTCTACTTTAAACCCACACAAAGATACTCACTCGCAGAGCTGGAGATATTTGCATTCATTGCACCAAATGCATATCACTGCAAGATTTACACAAGTGTAGTATCTTCTCGCATATTACGTGCACAAAATGTACAAACAATTCTGAGCAAAAGGTGCAATGTGAGTTGTAAACAAATTTTGCTACTCAAGCCGGCTCCACAAAAATTGTTCACAGAAATGGAAGGAAAAAGGCCTCAGAAAAATACGTGGGGGCCTTTTCTTTTTTTCAATGTTTTTCTGTGGTTTGTAGTTGGGGATGCAGGCTGTGTGCAGGGCGAGTTACTTATTGGAACGTTTTCTGGGCAGCTAGGGCCCTACTTAGTGCTTCCGCAAAAGCCGCAAATTATAGGATCATGCGGTGACAATTGACAACAATGAAAAAAACAAATGTGCCAGTAAATACAATAGAATGCAAGGAATCATTGTACCTTGCACGATGACATCATCGTCTAGCACAACGACAGGTCCCCTCAGAGCAGGCAGTAGTCGGCCAAGGTAGAGCTTGGCGTATGGCAGCTGAAAAGCAGTTCGAAATGGCGGCACTTGAAGAACCAAGTCATCCAAGTCAAGAATCGAAGACATCTGTATGCTTAAATTGTTTAGAGAGATTTCTAACCGTTGCCTATTTCGCTGTGCACCGACCACTAGCAAAGCATGATGGTTTGCGCTACTAGTTTTATGCTGTCACAAGAATTACAAATTTTAGTGCACTAATGGCAGTTAACTCATCTAAAAAGATGAAAAGGAGCACCAAAAATTAAAATATAGTAATAAGGAGGAAGCCTGTATCTAGCTCACTATAAAATGTTTTGAAATATTTTTACTACATGGCTCGTAGTCACCACATTGCAATTATTCAAGTCTGCCTAGAGCCACAGCATATGCATTTCAGCTGCAGTGTGTTACAAAAGAACATGTATGTTTTTATGCTTCTTTTAGTCAAAATTACAGTCAAGCCCCCTTACATATATATCTCATTATATTGAACCACAGTATAATGATTTTTTCACATTAACAAATTTTTCGAAAATACCCCTCCAAATCTCTGTTCGTATAATGTAAAAATATTTCACTACTACCAATTTCAGAATATTGAATGTTTCAGAATAATGAATCAAATTTTATCGCTTTTATGCACCAACACTTCAATATAACGAAAAGCGACTCTTAAAAAGTTCCTCACGAGTCGCGGCTGTAGAAGTAATGCCCAGCTTTATAAGTGCCACTATCATTATCATAAGCGTCCATGCATTTCTATCTGCCCGCCCTATTGAAATGTGCGTTAGCCCTATCGCCATCACATTTGCCTCGTACTTGTTTCTCACGTTGGGCTTCGCTCGGTTGCCTTTATTTTTGTCAGACAGCATCACCTGCGCTCTTGTTCCACAGCTCTTTTGTAGAGTTTAGACTTGGCAATTGAACGTTCAAGATGAGATCCGGAAGCAGCACAAAAAGAACGCTACGACAGTGAAAAATTCAACACAAGTGACCAGCGGGATGAAGCAGCTGATGATTACTCAAGCGTGCTTCACTAAGGCTCGAACGCTACGCACAGCGTGATGACGAAGCATGCATGTAAGCTTAGGTGATGACCGAGAACATCCATATAATTTGTCGTGAGAGCAAAGGTGACGTCGAAACAGCGTGCCTAAATGATCGTTAGGAATCGGTATTTAAAGCTTAGGCTACGCTGCGTGTCAGAAGGATGCGCATGATTAAGAGTTCGTCATTCAGCAGCTGAGTTATACATGTCAGGAGAGATTGACCCTTTTCTCAAGTAAATGCAGACTTATTGCATAACATTTTGTGTTTGTTTTTTCATGTTTATTTAAGGGGGGACGCGGGTCTTGGAAAAGTAAAAAATGGCCAAAAAATCGATTTTGAGAAAACCGCATTTTTCGAATCTTTGAGCCTATAAGCACCTCTCCTCAAATTATTAACGCTAAATTCGATAAAAAATAGGTTAAAATAGGTTATTTTCAAACCATCACGGGAGTCGCAAAACAACCCGCAAAACAGAAAATTTGTTCGAACTTCCCGCGCGCGCCGCCAGCGAAGCAGCTGGCGGATCGGCGCCATCTTGGGCTTGTTTTGAAGCTGGTTTCTTTGTGCGCGTTTTGCGGGCTCTCAAAATGGCGTAGCTCCAACACAACGACTGCCCTCCCCCATTTTGCGAAGCCGTCTGCCGGACCGCTGATTGGCTAGAGCGCGCGTGCGCCAGCGAGCCCCCCCGTCTCGCGCTTACCATTGGCTGGCGCGGCGGCGCGGCCACGGTTGCTCGCTCTTTTTTTTTTTTGTTTGGTATTGCTCCGTCGGCACCTGCTCTCGTGCGTGTTATCTCGTCTGCTACCCGCTCGTGTACCGACGTCGCCGACGTAAACGTCTTTCTGCATTTCGCCGGCATGGCTTGGGAAGCTCGCCTGAAGAAGAACACTCGTCAAGCTTTCGGCAGGAAACGAAAGCGAGCGTGGAATGCGCGGCAGAAGGGAGCGGCCTGCGCGCCGCCGAGAACGCCGGAGATGGTCGAGGCAGCGCATTCTGACGACAATGGGCTGTCGGAAACGCCTGTTATTGCGGAGGCAGCACATTCAGACGACGACTCGCTGGTGCAAGTGCCTGTTATTGCCGAGGCAGCACATTCAGAGGACGATTCGCTGGCGCGAATGCCTGCCGAAGCGGTGCACTCTATTCGACCCAGCTGCAGCACTTCGTCGGATCATCACGTCAGCGGATCGTCATCCGGCACTACTGGAACCATTCAAGGTCGTGTCGACACGACGTTTTACTCTGCGGACGAGTTCGCCGAGTGCTCCATACGTGCGGCGAATGTAAAAGAGTCCCTGGCATCGCAGTGCGCGACAGCACGAAAGTTTGAGCTGCTGGACGTTCAGCTGGAGGGCGACGACAAAGAAAACGGCACGCAATTCGCCATTCTTGATATAGAAGCGATAGACTCGCTATTTGGACTTCTCCCCTGCCCCGAGTGCGGGTCAAAAAGTATGACTTTCTCCAAGGGAAAAAGAGACTATGGGCTGTGCTCAAAACTCGTGCTCGCATGCAGCAGTTGCGACTTTCGCGAAGAACGGTTTTCTTCACCGAGACTTGCCGAAAATAGCCAGGCCAAAGTAAGGCCTTTTGAAGTGAATTTGCGTGCCATGAAAGCGATGAATACTATCGGCAAAGGGGCAACAGCTCTGACGGACTTTTTTGCCGCGATGAATATTTCGCATCGAGGGCTTCACCAGAAAACATATCAGAGCCACATGAAAATCATGCGGGAAGCCTGCGGTGCGACTGCTGCCGAATGCGAATCCACTAGCGTTGCCCGCGTCAAAGAACTCTATGCGGAGTCTGGCAATCCACCGGGCAACGTCGACGTCATTTATGATGGCACGTGGCTTACCCGTGGACACAGCTCCCATATCTGTGTTGGTTGTATAATTGAAATGTACACTGGTTTAGTTATTGATCACGTTGTACTTTCAAACTTTTGCCTAGGCTGCGCCACTGGACCAAAGGAAGATGAGGAGGGACACGCTGCTTGGCTCGTCCAGCCCACCCCTGTGTGCCAGAAAAATGTTGACTGCAAGGCTGGCCAGATGGAAGTAGAAGCAGCCCTACGCCTTTTCCGACGCTCCTTAGAAAAGCATAAGCTTCGGTACACAACAATGCTTTCAGATGGTGATAGCCGAACCTTTCATGCCCTCACTGAAGATGAAGTTTACGGATACATAAAAGTTGAAAAAAAAGACTGCATCAACCATGTGCACAAACGAATGGGGGCTGCCTTACGAACGCTCATCGAAAAGAAAAAAGCTCAAGGTGGGTCACTTGGCGGAAAAGGTAGGCTCACTTAAGACAAAATAAAGAAAATTACCTCTTACTATGACTATGCCTTGAGGAGCCACAAGAGTGATGTGCCAGGCATGAAAAAGGCTGTGCTGGCCACACTAAGGCACATGTCATCAACAGACGAGGCACCCAAACATGACCTCTGCCCTGAGGGAACAGATTCATGGTGCAAGTTCAACAGGGCCATAGCCAACAGTGAGGTGCCTCCACCGCACAAGAACAGCCTGCCCAATTTCGTCTGTGAGGCACTAGAGCCTGTGTTTATGAGGCTTAGTGACAAAGCATTGTTGGAAAGGTGCAGTGATGGGATCACCCAGAATCCTACTGAGAGCTTACACGCTACAATTTGGCAACAAGTCCCCAAGACCACCCATGCCTCACTGCGCAGCGTAGAAAGAGCAGCGGCTGAAGCCATCAGCCGCTTTAATCAGGGGGCCACGAAGAGCAATGAAGCAATTGCTGAGAAGCTAGGCTACAGTGCAGGAAATCTCTTCATGCGTCGTAGCCTTGAAAAGGATAAAACCAGGCTTCACAAATCGCGGAAGGAGCACCTGCAGAGCAGTTCAACAAAGGCAACACTTGCAAAGCGACATAAGCCTGCAAGAGACACTGCATACAGCCCTGGCATGCTGTAGAATTGTAAGAATGTCTGGGACAAAAATGTGTGTTTTACTTGAAATAGTGTTTTATGTATAAAAGGGTGATGTTTTTATATATAACATGTGTCTTCCTTTGGTTTTCAGTGCACTAGAACAGCCACAAAGTTGTAGACTGGGTTCCTTATACTGATTCAACGGCCAGTACACAGTTTTTAAATGAGCTGTGGCAAATATTTTGGGAAGGTGCATTGACACATTTGGTACAGCCATACTCACATAATGTAGAGCTATACAACGGTGCCATTTTTATTGCTCTAGCTTCACTTTAGCAAAAGTTACAGTTATTAGAAAATTTAAATACGTTTTTCTCAGTTCGATGTTTTTGTGCACCACACTAAACCTTAGGGGGTTTTCTTATATGTTACAGTTGATTGAGAATGACAAACTTGGTATCATTTTATTTGTAATAACATTACCTATGGGGTGATGCTATTTTGATTACTCTAGAAGCATACTGTTAATTACAATTATGGATAGTAATGAGCGAAAATTGAACAGAATATTCATTGTAAGTGCTGGTCTGTTTTCTGATCTATGTAATGCCTAAAAATTAATAAAGATAGCATCACCCCATACAGAAAGCCCTCAGCATTGGGGCTATGCATTTATTTTTTGGATCTGGCTTTATTAAGTTGCTAAAAAGCCCCCAATGAAGTGCATAATTAATTAAATTACAGATGTTAATACCTTTTTATCCACTGAAGCTATTTCAGAAACAATTACATATTTGAAATCAGCATGAAAAACTGTCCAAGATGGTGAGGTTTGGTCAAGATTGAGCCAAAAACAGAAAAAAAATTTTAAAGACCCATGTCCCCCCTTAAGCAGCACAATACAGCTGCAAACGTATACACAACACCGGTAGGCAACTTACGTGTTTATGTTTATGATTCTTGTGCAAATTTTTAATACGTTCACTGCGACGACTTTTCAAAATAATGAAAGATTTTTAGCGGTCCCTTGATATTTGTTGTATCCAGATTTCACTGTATAACGAACCTGAGC